CTTTTCTCGGTATGTGCCATTGCTGTAATAGCTGTGTACAGGTCGGGTGATCTGGAATCTCGGTCATGTCTAATTGTTTGTATTCAATAACTTGAAAGAGCAGAGCAACAACATGTTTACATTTACCACCTTTGCCTGCTATACACGTACAGTTGCTATACACAACCTCCCCATTTGCTTCATTTAAATGCACATAAACAGTGTATGTGTTGCTTTTCATTGCAGCATTAACAGTGCCTTTAACTAAGAAGCAGGACATGTTCCCTTTAGTGATATTTGGTTTAACCTGGACTTGACCAACATATTTGTCTTTGAACATTTGATAACCCAATTTCTTGTGTTTCTGAGCACCTGTACCAGAATTTTCAGGCCCCAAATGCTTGATTAACAGCTCATATGTAAATGCTGGAATGCCATGTAAATCCCTTGTCCATCTTATTGTTACTGGTAATTCACTACTATTCGTCTCATGCGAAGTGCTTGGTTCACTCTCCATATTATATAGTTTAAAAATTTATATACACCTAGACACTTTAATTTATACTCTGACTACAAAAATTTACAATATATTTATCTATTTAATTTTAAACTGAATTTAAATTAATTTACCTAAAATATCCTATCTAAATGTTTATGAATTTACCTAAAATATGCTATCTAAATGTTTATTTCCTATGCTATAAGTTCAAAAATTGAAATTTATTTACCTAAATATTATTCTATAACCCACGAACAATTTATTAAATTACAATGGAGGATGAAAACCAAAGCAAACTTCAACTAGAGGACAAATAACAGCAAACCAAGAAAAGCACTTTGAACTTTATATTTTGTCACTATAGCTTGTGTTTCTCATTCAAATTCAGTATATTTTCGCGCCAAAACAAATCCAAAACATTTGGCAAGGCCACGGCACTTCAATGGCAAATTTGAACAAAATGGTTACGACATATGTCAATTTCAGGAAGCTTAAAACGACTTTTGTACAAATACTGTAGTAAAATGTCCCAGAGATCAAATAAGACACACTATCAGTTAAGCTTATTTTGTAAAAAAAATTAGCCGATCGCAAGTTGAAAAGCGAACTCACCTGTTTAAGTTCGTGTGGTCAATTTTTCGCGAGCAAATTTACGCGAAGCATGTTCACAACTTGTCGTCTTCTCAACGGATTTTTATCACCATTAACGCCCAGATCGCCACGAAATTTCGTCCACTTGTAGTGCCAAACCTCCTCGTAATTTTGCGAAGAAAACAGACATTGATGGACACTTAATGTTGTTAAAAATCCGCCGATTCTTCTCTCGCACGAAATCGATCGCTCATACGGCAGCCATTTCGTTCGAAAGCAAATTGCATACTCCTACCGTCATGCTTAGCGCGCCTAGTGCTATAAGGGGAAAGGCCTATTGAATCAGATAATTTTTTTAAAAATATGACGAATGAAATAACCTCTGGCATCCCGCATAGTCACATCAAAATTTTCATCAGACCATGAAACGTTTGTGCAAATTTTTCATCTTTCTTCCAGTCTTGAAAACAAACTTTATATGCGGGTATGTAGAAAAAGTATCAGAGTTCAATGTGGTATAATTTTTTATCATGTTCTATTTACGTATACGAAGTATTTTGTGTTTTGCCGAAGTGGTATATTCGTCAGTTGAGATATAGTTGCCAACCTTAGGTATAATCTATATATATCAACACTGCTTTTCAAATTGAGTGCTTGCGGCGCGCGAAAAATGACAAAGGAATGGGGCGAGCTTAATGCAAATTGACATTTGGAAGCATTATTGGTGCATTCTACACGCCGTTTTGGGCTGCCTATGGGTCAATTTTTGTTTTGTTTTGATCATGCAGTTGCGTGGGATAGTTCACGTACTTGTCCCGCGAACATCCCGCACGGAACTGTAGGGAGCCTCCTTAAGTCGTACTATTAATGCCATAATCATACTCGTGATTAACAAATCAACCTCCCGCTACGCGGTCGCTTGATTTTGTAATCACTCGTATGATTATGGCATTAATAGCACTCCTATTCGTTCTATTACCATCATTAATTGCACTCTCCAGGAGTGCAATTAATGATATTGGTGATGGCTGGGGGGGAGCGGGAAATCAAAACAACAAAATCCAATATGGCGGCGAAATTTAGATAAGTATTTCTAACAAATGTGGACGAATTTAAGGTGGCTCCCTAGAATTTTTTAATTTACTACACTTAGTCCGTGTGTTGTGACCTCGAAAAGTGCCTAGAAAACGATTTTCATTAAGCATGTCTTAGATCTGAAATATTTTTACGGGAACTAACACTTTCGAACACGCTGAGTTCAAATCCGAAAAGTTCCCACTCAGTAGACCCGCAGTTTTTTCACAAAATGCTATTTTATCTTCACTAATTTCACAACAAATTTTTTCATTGTTCAACGATACGGATCGATGACGATACACGATTATGTCACTCAAAAGGACCAATTTCTATTAACCATTCTTCCTTTTAACAAAAGACCGGTTTCGCTCGTATCATTTTGAGTTATGTAATCTTATGCGTGTTGGACGTAAACAACATATCTTGTCTACAACTTTGAGAAGGTACAGATAATTCCTTCTAATATCCTTAGTTCTGGATCTATTTCTATAAAATCACAAGGACGTTAATGTTAAGTCTTTGGGCTATGTCTCTGGGCTGAGAAATAATTCCTTACATGCGATCAAAATGTTTTATACAAAGATATAAAACGGTAATCTATATGTAATGGAGGCCTACTCTGGGGCGGTAAATCGCCTTAAATCGCCCTAAATCGCACTAAATCGCGGGTTAAAATTGTCGAATTTCTCCTAAATCGCCTAAAATCGCCTAAGACCGCTTAAAATCGCCAACATGCATTCTGCTTGATACATTCAGTCCATGTACTCAAGTTTATCAATTGCTGCTATTTTGCAGGCAAATGATGTAATCCAGGTGCTTTGCAATGAAAGTAATGCAACATAAATTAGCAATCAAATAAGTGGATTAGGCTGACAATATTTGGTCACTCAATAGGCACCGGTCATTGACAAAAACAGAGCCTTTTCTGCTTTATGCAGACTTTACAATAATTAGGTAATTCTGGGATCTGAAAGACCCATAGATCCGATACACTGCAAGCAACAAAATTGAGCTAGTTACCAGAATGAGCTAATTTCATTATTGGTGTAAATGGAGGCTGGGCTACAATTTATATGGACTATGGAGGCTGGTCAACAAATTAATCTATAATCTAGCTACATTGCTGTTAAGCCTGGTTCACATGTCTGCGATATGCCTGTGACGTCATTGTTTACAGCTGTTGATGCATTCTTTTGTGAATTATTTGGTTGAACTGCTAAGACAATAGCCCGCCGACACATCGCAGACACATGTGAACCAGGCTTTAAGCCTGGTTCACACTGATCGTAATTCATCGACGATCTATTGTATTCTTTTCCGACAGAGAAAGCATTTTATACACCAATGATCACAGACAATGGAAATCCCGATTCTTACGACCAGTGTGAACCAGGCATTAATTAGAACAACAGTAGGAAACTACGAAAGTCAATGAGTACGAGTGTTGATTTATATAATAAATTCATCGTGTAATTTGTGCACTGTTGCATGTAAGATCGAGCACTGCATTGTATACAATGGTTGTACTTCGACAGTAGTAATGGGGTAGGGTGTATTTAAAAAAAAGGGGGGGGGGGTGAACCATTTGTATTATTATATAAGATTGAAAGGGTATGCGTGTCGAAAAAACGTTCCAAAAGAGTACTATCGGTACGTTGTGGACGGGTTTTTTTTTTCATGGGCGTTAACCTAAATAATACAACTGTTTTACACACCCTTATTTTTAATAAAGGCAATGTGCGCATGCGTAGCGGACATCCTATCCCAAAGCCCTGGTTGACCGAACTAACTTCATTTTGAAATTCGCGCTTATTTAAACACTATGAAATTCAATCCCAATTGATATTTAATCCATCCGGTGTTTCCACTTGATGTTTCCGTTTCAAACATTGCAATTTTATATCTTTTTCATCTTTTTTCTTTCAATCCAATTCTTTTTTGTTTTATAAAAAAAATAAAATTGATCCTTAAAGTCAAATATACAGTTTGTAAGTAACAGTAAAGTGGACTGTAAAGAAAAATTTATTTTTCAAATATCTTCCATTCATCTGTTTTTCTTCTTGTTTCCATTTGTTAATATAAATCAACATTACAATGCTGAATCATGATACACTAAATATTATGATTTCAAACATTGCATTAATAATCAATATTACAACTTTTTCTTCTTTCCTAAATATTAATATTTTGCATTAATAAAGAGAATCACCGTGGCGATAGGTATAAAAAACCTATTACCAGGGTGATCCTTTTTATTAAAACTAGCATTTTCATCCATTTTGTTATGTTTTCAAATTTATTTAGGGTGATTACTTATTTCTGTAAATAAAGAAGTAAATGATCATCCTAATGAATTTGAAAAAATATGTCTGTTTTTGAAAAAAACTTAAGTTGGCTTTAACATGCTCGTGAAATAAAAACCCACAAGGATGGTAAAGCCAGTCCTAAGTGTTTTTTTCTCTTCTATTTCCTCCCTGGTTCTTCTTTTTTCTTTTTTTCCTTCCAATACTGTATAAATTTAGTATAAACTCTTCCCCCAGAACATTAAAAAAAATGTCCTGAGGACGAAGTTTTACCAAAAAATACGCTTTTCCTTAAAAAAATGGTTTCGATGTATTAGCAGTAAAATCATCCCAGTACATCGAAGCCATATTTCAAAAAAAAAAATTCTTTTCTGTTTTTTTTTTGGCGTAAAACATTTTTATTTCTTCTTTTTTTCTTCTTTTTTATTTCATAATATTTTTTTATCAAGATCGCCGATCTTACAAAAAATTGAAAAAAAGACGACTTTGATGAAAATATACCAAATAATACAGTATAAAAGGATTGCACGTTATTATTTCCCGTAACAGTTATGGAAGCAGATTGGCAGCGTAGCGGTCACGCGCCAAAATCGTACTATGAAAGTCTGCAAAAAAATGTAACCACAAAAAACTATAACCCGCAAAGATTATGGTGGGCAATGTCAGCCGACAACTATCAGCTGGTGGACAGGGCGAGGACGAGGTGTGAGGACGGAAGAATTGGAAAAGCGTACGTTAGATGCTACAAACCCGAGGAGGAGGATAATATTACGTATAAACAATATGTAACAATTCTTAAGCGGTTTGATAAACCGGTCTCTACCGTGGGTGTACAAAAGTGGCTCGATTTTCATTTTAATAATACGGAAAATTGGTGTATGAAGATATGGAAACCATTACATGTGGAAATCGTTTACAAACGGTTGTTCGACGATAATGATCTGGAACTGCACCGCTTGGTTTGGGCATATTGTCCTAATTTTGGCATATGGCCAAAAAATTTGATTTCTAAATAAATTATCTTTGTCTTTATCTTTGTCTTTGTATATTTTTCAAAAAAATATATTTACAAACACATAACAATATAATATCTAAATTAATTAGGGTATTATATTGTGTTGTGATGGGTAATATATCAATTAACATACAATTGTAAAAAAATTTAAAATATGTGTCGGTATATTTTGGGTAAAAGAAAATAGGGTTTGTATTTTAAAATAAAATAGCGTGTAAACATTTTGAAAGTGGTATTTACATGATGTGTCAGCATGTGCCTGTTTCGTACTATAATAAAAAAATAGTATCACCCTATGCACAGCGTCTTTGGTGGTGTTATTATACGAAAAAAATTCATCTGGTTAATGAGACGGCGAGAAAATGTGAGGATAAATCGATAGGTGCAAATGTATATGCACTATGTTGGGATATTAAGTATAAAGATAAAGGGTGGGATAAGGATTGGTTGATATATGTTACCGTTTTAAAAAGATTTCCTCAACCTATTTCACACATTGGTGTTTATGATTGGTTAATCAAAAAATATTCTAATGTATATATGGGTCAAGAAAATTTTAGAATATGAACGCCTGCACGACGTGAAATAGTACAGTGTAAGATTGATGATGGGATTTATAATAATGGTTATGAACGGTGTAAATTTTGGTCATATGATGGTGAGATCTTGATGGATGAAGAACTTGAAAATGAAATGTATTTTGATATAAATTGATAAAATATGGCTTTTGTTCTTGATGATTATGATGAAATTTGTTGTACTTCGATGGCTAGAAATACGAATGTTAGCTGTATGACGTCAAAAATTATTAAGGGTTATGTTGATGATGATTTTGAAAAATACCGTCCCGAAAATTGGTCCGGTGGAACTGCTGAGGAACAACAACAACTATATGAACATATGTTGATGTATATTGTACAGCGAGATCTACAACCTAAATGGGGTGAAAGCGTAATTGATGATAAAACGTGGCATACGCAGGGTGTTGAAATTATGTTGGATTACGCACATTTTTATGCGGGGGATCTTTATTCGGATATAATGATATTTTACGGTATTAACGATATTAAAGGGGATGAAATATACAATAGATTAGGATATTGTCATAACGAGAATATAGTACAAAAGTTATACGGTATATATTGCGAGTATTATTATAATCAATCTACACAATTTGAAAATGTATATATAGATATATAGATTGTTTTATTGATCTTTAGAATAATCTTTGTTCTTCAAAATGTGCTCTTGTAAGTGTAATAAATGAGTGTTTTGGATTTTCTGCTAGTTTCTTTTCACTAAAAGTATTCGAGTCTTTTTTTATACATTCTTTGATGCTTCGGGTTTTTGTTGTTGGCGCTTGGCTGTAAATCTAAAAGGGTTTTAAAAAATATATATATGATATATGCACAATATTTGATTTTATATTTTTTCTAATCATACCGTTTTAGTTTTGAAACATTCTCCAGGGTAGAGTTTGAAAATGTGTTTGGGTGTTGGTACCAATAGTTGGCAAAGTTGTACTTTGATATACGGTTTCTCAACAGTTAGTTCATCTGTGTTTAGTTCCTTGACACCCACAACGTTGAAAATTTGATCGGGTGTACCATTTTGATAATATACCGTTTGGGGTTTGTGTATACAATATAACACTTCATGATTCCCTGTGTTACAACCAACACATTGATACACAGTATTATTACCAGCCATTTGTGAATTTTTAACATTTGTTTGAATTTGAAAAAACTCGTTGGGGTTTTTATTTTTATGTGTTGAATTACATGTGTGACACGACATATATGGATATGTTAAGGAATGCTTACATGACGCTATCACATATCGATTGGAATGTTGATTCGGGGAAGTTTTTCTATAAAAAAATTATATGTTAATATTTTTGTATTGAAATGATTGGAATGTGTATCCCGGGTGATTTTTTTGAATAAAAAATATATGCTAATATTTTTGTATTGAAAATAGTGTTAAAAAAACTTACAATGTGTTGGGAATCATATTCATGATGGGGTATTAGACAAGCAATTTCGTGTAGCGGGTAGTACCCCTTGTTGATTATCTAGGTAAAAAAAAAATTTTAATAAAATTATTATTTTGTTTTTTAAAAAATTTTTTTATACATACCGTTAATATCTTCATACATTCGCCAGGTTTTAGGGTAAATAATAACACAGGTTTTTCTGAGACACCGTTGATTTCTAATTTTATGGCGTTTTCATAATTTGTAGTTTCTTGGATGTTATGACTATTGACAACGATAATGGGGAATGATTCACTGGATCGATTATAAAAATATTTTGTTTTTTCCTTGGGTTGCATGGGTACTAATTCATGAGATATGAATTAATCTTTTGCTTCTGCACACATGACGACCCGCACGCCTATAAATTGAATTATCTTGAAGGTGTTAGTTACCACAGCATTATTAGTCGAGGTGGTAAGAGTGATAAGAGTGAGTTTATAGTGAAATAATTTATGCGTGCATGAAATTTAACCCCATAGATATGATGTAGCAAATAACTAACTGAGCTAACATACAAACCAGGTTGTCATCACCAATTCATAATAATGTTAGCAGACAATTGCAATGCCGCGCAAAGTTCAAATTGCGCCAAAATGGTCTGAAGAAGAGTGCATTCTGCTTGACAATCGTGTGTATGGATTCAGGATGGAGATCAAGATCGAACAAACTGGCAATATTTTGATAGCTGCTTATTAAAGAATAAAGATTAAAGATTAATGCGAAGTATTTTCAATCAATAAGGTTAGGTAATAGTCAAAAGGCTATAGCCTATAGGTATTGCAGCACGCATCAGTTATTATTTCTTTAGTATACAGTATGCTAGATACCACGGCTTTCAAGCAGGGCTATCACAACCGCGAGTTGATTGTACTATATTCGTTATTTAATATACTCATTTCTATATTTTGATACAAGGTAGCACAAGACAAATAATATTTATTTACATATATATATATACTGGGTGGCGCAAAAAAAGTTCAGGCGTTTGATCTACCATAGCGAAAAAACTATAAGAGCTATACGTCTCTCAAATAAATGTAGCTGTATTCATAAAAGGGTAACTTAAATTTTGATAGGTTATACATGAGATATCACGAAATATTGACTGAGATATCAGCGTTCAAATTAAACTTGCGTAAGCATTTTCAAAAGAATCGAAAATTAGTCTAAAATGGCCCATTGAACTAAATTTGATATCATTCTCATTAGACATTACGCTGGGCATCGCCAGATTATTTCCCGGGCGAGCTAGTGATGAGTAAACGCGGAGATGAGCCGTACCCCTGGCTTTCAGATTTGACAATATCAAATATTTTTGTGGCTATACCTATAGAGGATAGTTGAAATATCAAATTGGGAGTATGCCACATCGACAGCGCTAGGTTTTGGAATAATATCTAGAATACTTTTAGTGAAAACTCTTGTGTCAGAAAGATGTCCCATCTTTTGCTGACAGGTTGTGAAGATGTCCCATCTTTTCTTAACCAGCGGAAGCTTAAAAGGAGTCACTATAATATTATTCTTTACACCACGCTAAGTTAGAGTAAAGCGGCGCATGCATGCAGCGATAGCGCTAGGTTTTTGAATAATATCCAGAATACTTTTAGTGAAAACTCTTGCACAGCAAAAAATCGTTTTCTTATTTTAAGAAAAAGAAACTTATTTCAAGATTTTTTATCTTGAAATAAGAAATATTTTCATGGGAGAATAGCGAGAAATAATTTCTAGTCAAGAAAACATACCTAGAAATTATTTTTTTAAACAAAGAAAATAAATTTTCTTGTTTTAAGTAAATAACAACAAATATATTCAAACCTTTTTCTTGAAACAAGAAATTTCATTCTCATACCAAGAAATACTGAGAAAGAATTTCTTAAAATAAGAAATGTTGATACCTTGTTTTAAGAAAAACACACTTGATTTAAGAAATATTTACTTAATTCAAGTAATATTTTCTTGTTTTGAGAAAGTGGGAGAATAGCGAGAAATATTTACTCAGTAAGAAAATGATTACTCGATAAGAAAATATTTCTTGAAATTTAATTTCTTGTTTCAAGAAAATATCTTTCAAGAAATAGAAAATATCTTTCAAGAAATATTTTCTTACACAAAGTAAACTTTTCTTGCTATTCTCCTACTTTCTCAATTCAAGAAAATTAAATTACAGAATTCTAATATCAAAATAAACAGGATTAAAGAATGTATTATATGGAATCTGAAACTAATTTGTACCTACAGTATATACAGTTTAATCGTTGAGTTACTCATGCAGAGCCTTCTTTATATTTTTAATACGACTTTAATATGGTACTGCAAATTGCACTAATGTTGTTTGGGATTCGGTTGTCCTTAAAAACAAGAAATTGTAGGACTGCCAATCTTAGCTCGTGTTGTTTGGGATAATCAAAATCCATTAAGGGCTAAAAGGCAACAACAGCTTCTGCTATTTTACCAACATCGGTACGCAGCAAAATGTGTTTTCCAACAATGAGATATATACTTTCCTGATCAATCAGGATGACAGGAAGATTACCAATTTGTTTCTGACAAAGGAATTTGGACTTTCATGGTCCTAAAAAGTAAAAACAAAAGAAACTTTATACACAATTATTTAGAACAATCTATCTGAAAGGATCTTTTTGGTGTTTCTGAAGTATAAGAATACACATGCTAGCGTAGATACACTAAAATAGATCATTAGGGGCCTACCTGCAATTCATGAACTAGTTCAATCATTTTTTTTGACAACTTCGGTCTTGGAAATATAGCGGAAATCTTCTTCAATCTTTATATGTACCATTTTTACATCTGCCAAACAATACAAATATTTTGTTTATTAATATTAACAGCGCTGGGAAACTGAATTAAGCTGGACCTTCTGGGGCTTTGCAGGAGAGTTTGGCAGATATTTCTGTATTTCTGCCAACTTATTGGTTGGCAATGTGCTAGATTTTATTCTTTTACTCTGTCTATAGAAAGACATGCAGATGATTTTACCTGTCAAGGGGGGATTCTTGAAACCGTGAGAATAAAATAGCAAAGTAGAGAATGTATATTTCCAGTCAATGGGTCAGCAAGAGAAATTGGGGACAATATTTATCATGGCAAGAAATTGTGGACATGCATGCGCACTAACCGCTTGGACTTGTAAACAAAATGGCCACCATAATATTAGAGATCCGTATAGCAAACATAATAATATGATGATATAGAAATTTTATTCGGTATCACGACATTTATCTTCAAAGCAAGCGTAAAGTAAAATATATAGGGCAGTAGGCAACATATCTCAAGCGAGCCACGACGAATTCCGATTTCTTACTCTTCTGAGCTACGGACGCAAAACGCTTGGATATTGTTTGGCTTGTCAATACAATATGTGTTTCTAGGGACCATTCATGTCAAATCTCTGTGATTAATACGTGGCTTGGTATTTAACACAATTTTAGTGCAATCTCGATGTATTTTAACCGTGAAATTCTACACTGGGCACTGAAACTTGCCTAAAAGGTGCATGAACATAAACAAACCAAAGTTGGTCGTCCTTCTTCGAAATATTCCTCCATTTTGTATGTTTTAAAGATGCCTCTGTCAAAGAAGAGCTTTGTGAACCTGCCTTATAGTTTCTAGGCAACAAAATTTTATGTATTCGTAAACATTGTCGGCATGAAGACTTCAGATACAGGTTAAAGTGGGTATATAATTTTTTGCACAAAGGTCAGATGGGTCAATCGAGCAAAACATAATAAACACTGAAATTTTCCGGATGTCTAGCGTTTCTGTTTGCCCAGACCAGCTAAAAATTCTTATGAATGGGGGTTTAACCATCCAATAAATAATCCTGAGTGGTTTAAAAAAGTGGTATAAGCCACTGATGGAAACCAAGACATTTATGAAGGCAGAATATATAATACAGTCTTATAAGCTCTGCCCCATAATGTCCACAATTTCTCGCCATGTCCATTTAGTGACAATATACTCCCCTAGACATATTGCAAGTAAAAGGGTTAGTACTTCTACAATGAATTACCCAATGACTGGCAACGTGCCATTAATTTAAGATACTTTAATTACTCATTCAGTCTGTCTTTAGCCAGAGAGTCTTCCAGCTTGTCAAGAGGAGGGTCTTGCAACTTAATGGTTTACTTTTAAAATTATAATGGACTTAAAGTGCCCCTGTCACAAAATGAGAGTTTACATCATTAGAATCGTCTTGAAACGTAGATTATGAGAATACAAAACAGATTTAAAATTGAGCTTGTTTTCACAGAGTAATAAGGCAATGAAATTTGAAAATTTCAAATTTTAACGGCAAAAGTTTTTGAAAACCGCGAAGCTGGGAAATTGGTAACTAATACGTCATAGTAGGAAGACATTGCCTTCTTGCCTAAGTGAAAAGTATATAAATACTAAGTGAGAATCACAATCAAGCTGGTCAAAATTCGATACAAATGTCTTCGTTGAGTTCAGATACGGAAAATAACAGTTACCAAAGCGATGACTGCCTGAAATTATATTCCTGGGCCGTATCAAATCGAGTGAAATCGATGAAAACACCAGTGAAGCGTGGTCAACGTCGTGCGCACAAATGATCGGCGCTGCTTGATCCATATGTTACATGCAATGAACCATGCAGTGACCGACGAAGATGGCTCAAAAGTTACCGCGAAAAAAAGCAATCACAACGAACGTCTTAAGCAATTACAACAAAGGCTTGATAGTTCAGAAGAATTGAGTAAATGGTAAATATTTCACGGCTCTGATTTTGTTGCGTGACTTGACCTTGTGTTGTAAATTACACACTATAATATTTCATGTGTAAACGTGGCAATTGTCGCATTGAACTGCTTCGTAAATTATGCTAAAGAGTGTCAATGTTGTATGGAAATTGAGGAGTGCGTCGATTCTCTACACAGTGACATTGTGATTTGTGATGCAAGAAGCTGAAGTCGCGCCATCATGTATAATTCAACAGCTATGGCTAGATAAGTGAGCTCTCCGTTCAGCAGCCACGAAATTACGAACAACAAAGAAACAGGAATACCGTCAAACAAGCACAGAAGATAGGTAAATAAAGTTATATTTATCAACATATTGAAATTATGAAACACTAAAACCGTACCCGAGTTTACTATCAGTGAACACACGCATGCGGTACGGTAACTGAGAGTTTATACACGGTACATATTGTACAATTATTGAATTATTATATATTTACATGTGTTCACATGCTATTAAAGCGACTTATTAAAAATACTTATTTATTAATTTATAGATTCTGAAGGAGCACAGTATATAGCAACTTTGTGTGGATGGTTTATGGACAACTAGGAAATAGACATTTTTGCGCATATGAGAAAATAATGCCTGCTGTTGATGAAGACTTTGTAGGATTTGTAGAGAACAGCTCTTGATATTATATAACTATTTTTCAATAAATAAACCTATTACACTGTATAAACGTACGTGGTAATATTATACTGTATTGCGCATAGAAACAGCACATTTGCTATATTCATGACTGCAATATTGTTTTGCTAAAGAGACTGAAATTTGAGATTAAGATTTGTATCTGATGTTTTTCTGCACTTCGTGCGCGCGGTTAATTTCTACAAAGTGTTGCAGCACGTTTAAGAATTTTTCTGACTTGTTTTCGTTCCAGGCACTATAGCAAATGTGGCAATGACTAAGTTATTTCATTAAGTTGCTTCAATGGATTATACTTTGTAATACATTTTCTATACACCACCGCAGTGTATCTGGTTTCATGCCACAATTTGTTACAAAATCTGCATATTGTACGGGTTTTCACTGCGGTGCAAACACAACGAGTGTATATATGTATAATTTACTGCGTCAAGTTTACTTATACGTACAATTCTACTTTCCCTGTCTAAACTAAAATACAAACAGTGCACATTGCTTGTAGACGTAAGAAATTAGCTTTCATCAGCTATATTTTGATCATATTCACTCATAGTCATAGCTATATTGTCGCGATATTTTATATTTCTGGTGAATCCATTGGCTGTGGCTCATTTATATTTATCGCGCTTTCCAGTTTCGTGACTATGACCATATCGGTTGACTGCATCGAAGCAGCTTCTAAATACAACCTATTCGAATAAAGAATTTGGAATAAAAATTGCACTAGGCCATATTCAAGTGCATGATAAACGAAATTAGAGTATAAATTATACATATACCATTCTCCTGACTCTCGCAGACAAAGGTTTGTCATCGACAGTATTTGTATATTTTGGAATTGCAACGAAACCAATTTCGTCGGTAGCTAACCGTGGTTTTACCAGCAAGCTCTATCTTCGCAAAGTATGCTGAACATTGGATCTCATATTGCTGGTTTAAGGTGCACGAAGTCAATCCCTGTCCTTTTCGCTTCGTGCATCTCGCCTCCAGTAAAAAAGGTATAAAATGAAGTGAAATGCCTTACTCTGTATCCGTGACATTAGAACAACCGCCTACTATACATATATTCGGCAATTTTTCAGTTTCGTGACTTTTATTTGCGCTATTGCCTCCTTTATGATAGTACATGCAATAGTATTTCTATATTAGTGAGCTACATAAGTTCCTACTATTACGTCACACGCATTGTTTCGTCCCAGTTCCTTTTGCGCGGTTTTCAGATTTTTCACAAGGCCAAATTCAATGTTTAAACGGCAATAACTTTTACACTAATAAAGCAATTTCAATTCCGTTTTCGAATTTCCGTATATTTTGTATCATAGATTTCGAAAATATAAACTCTCATTTTGTGACAGGGACACTTTAAACAAGCATACTGTACTTACATAGTTTTGGACTTCGTGGAGGAGTTATTCCTTTGCTGATACCATAAGACACTAAAAAGTCAATTTCCGACAACAGGCGCTCAACACTCCCATCTGCGAACTGGCATCATGCAACACAATCGAGATTCAAGATTCTTAACTTTTTGTTTCCTCAATTATCTAAAGAATATAAATTATATGTATTACATATTTATGAGTGGGAATATTATTCCAATATTACATGTATTCAAACTCACCACAGAGCCAGAGTTTTTTCTGGCCGGAGGTGAAAAACCCTGGAGTTAGCACAGCACTAATATTTTGTAATGTAATGTTTGTTATGGACAGTTTATAGTGTGCTTATATAATTTATCTCAATTCACAGTTTATACAGTATAAAACTAAAGAGATTTAAGTGAGCAAGAATATTCATACATCTGTGATGGTTTAACCTTTGCTTGCAATCACAGCAGTTGGCATGCAATTTGGGCAGGCATTTTTTAATTTTGTTGCAAATCGTAAATGAATACAGATCTATTGCTGCAAACAAAGGCCGGATAATGTGCAAATCATACAATTTGAAGTTTTTGAACAGCAACTGCCAAATATACATATTTAAAACGCAAATATACTAAACATGCGATTGAGCTGAACAAACCTTAAGTGCTTCATAGTTATTATTCTGTAATACTTTACTTCAAATTATGTTAACAGTAGCAGAATTTAGATTTTAACCGCTGCGATTTGCTCGCAACTGTCGCAAGCAACGAATTATTTAGAGCACGTTCTGGAGCACGTGAGTTTTTCTAATTCTATAAATATTCAACAAAAACATTACCTTCCAGTATCTGTTCGCATTCTTTGTCCACACTAGCAGTTTGTTTAAGTAACGATGAAGTTTGTAGATCCATATTAAACTTTCAAATGGAAAAATTTAATAAAATTCAGCGAGCAAGTGAACACACAGCCGTTTGACTTCGAAGCACAGCAGATTTCGAAAGGACGCGCATTTTAATCCCAGAATCCTTTACGCGCTCTTTCGTGGGACCACGCGACATGACGTCATGATATATTTTAATTCTTCAGTTAAATAAGTTAAAGTAGCCAATTTTAATGATTTATTTATTCAATTTTAATAACATATTTGTTTAATTTGAATTTGTGTGAGCAGGCTAAATTTACATATACCCTGGGATCGAAGTTGCCTCGTCCCCAGTTTTTCTAAAATCAAGTATAGCGCGGGTAAAAAAGGGGAGTTAGTTTGTTTTACTATAGAAAAAAACACACACACAAACAGGTGACAATAAGCAGTGCCGTTTTAAAATGTTAAAAATTGTCGCAGATGTCTCGTGCTGAATAAACCTTAATATGGTGAGTCAAGTTGCCCCAAATACTGTTCGGAAATGTTCCCTAGATGTGCTGTGTTCGTGGCACTCACTGTTCGGGTTCTTATGAACCATTACTACAGTAATAGACTGTTGGGAACGAACCCAACCGAATGTCGTTTATATATCAAATAATAATCACCACGTCATTACACTTTATTTACTCTCAAATTTAGTTTATTCTAAGCAGTACATCATGACAAATATCTTGTACATATCAAATATCCATGCATCATTCTGTCCTCGATTCTGTCCGTATTTCGACTAATATCGGTCGTAAACAAAGGTTTGCTACATAGAATTACAAATAACGTTCATTAACAACAAGTTCAATTGTTTCAAAGTCAAAATGAAAGAAATAGTTACATCTTATGGCGATTTTAAAGCAGATTACGTTTGTATATCTATCACGAATATCAATAGTTTTCCAAAAAGCCTCGCTCGCGAAGACTGGCCCTAAATTAATTATGCTAATGTCAACAAACGGCGCGAAATAATTAGATTAATTATAGTAGCGTCCGTAACATCCCGGCCCCCCAATGAGCGTATCACGTTAGCTCATTTACCACCTTTATTCGTCAGCCTCCAGGAAGCACAACTTCTGAATTGGACGTTTCAAAACATTATTTTTCGTTTTCACTTCGGCGACTCTGACAAGACCATCCTTTCCAGGAAACACCTTCGTCACTCTTCCAAGTAGCCAATGTCCTCGTTGAAGTTTCTCGTCTACCAGGAGTACAAGATCACCAACTGCTAAATTTCGTTGTGGTGTAAGCCATTTTTGTCTTTGTTGTAAAGTTGGTAGATACTCATGTAACCACCGTTTCCAAAAATGATCGCTCAAAATTTGTGATTGTCTCCAACTCTTTCTGCTATACAAATCAGCATCGACAAATTTTCCAGGAGGTAGAGTAATCGCTGGTCTTTGAAGTAACAGATGATTCGGAGTTAACGGCTCCATGTCCCGAGGATCGTCCGAGTTCGGGCACAGAGGTCTGGAATTGGCAATCCCTTGGGCTTCTGATAACACCGTTCTCAAGACTTCCTCTTTAACTAATGTCTTTCCTAGGATAGCCTTCAACGATTGTTTAACACCACGAATCAGTCTCTCCCACACTCCCGACATATGGGACGCTAATGGCGGGTGGAATTGAAAATCCATTCTACTCCGGTTTGTCTTAAATGCTCTTCAATCTGATTTTGATTCCACCTTTCTAAAGCTTCACGTAACTCGCGCTCTGCGCCCACGAAATTTATACCGTTATCTGAACGCAGTTGTTTAACGCCACCCCGAATGTTTAAGAATCTTCGTAACACCATGATGAATTCATCGGTTTCGAGGGACTGGGCTAGTTCTAGATGTATGGCTCTCGAGGCCATACATACAAATATACATCCATAACGCTTGGCAGAACCCCGTCCGTGTTTTACCATAAGTGGTCCGAAAAAGTCAATGCCCGTGTTTGTAAAGGGAGGTTCGAAAGGAGTAAGGCGAACCTTAGGTAACTCTGCCATTTCTTGGGTCATCCGTACTGAGTATCTTTTCCTACACGGTATGCATTTGCTGATCACTCGTTTAATAGTCGCTCTGCCCTTAACGATCCAAAATTCTTCTCGAAGTCCAGATAACAACTGCTCTTGTCCGCAGTGTCCAAGTTGTTGGTGATTAAAACGAATTATCAAGGTTGTAACATGGTGATTCTGCGGTAAAATCATCTGATGTTTACTGTCAAACGTGCTTGGTGCTTCTGATATTCTACCAGAGACCCTTAGGAGTCCGTTCTCGCCTAACATGGGCTTAAGCTTCACAATCGAACTCGATTTCTTCACACGTTGAGCGGTTTTATCCTTTCTTTTAAGATCTTGCAATTCTTCCGGAAACGACTGGTGTTGAACAAGTGAAACAATCGTTCGTTTAGCTAAAGTCAGGTCGTCCGCGGTTAAAGTATTGCATTCTAAACGTTTGCCATTTTTCAACCAAGCTTTGTACTTGCATAACCAAGCC